GAAGGCTACTCTCCCAGGCATCAATGTGTTAAAAAATCCATATGGGTCAAGTAGACGTCCCCTTCCCACCTGATGTCTGACCAAACACAAGACCATCCTCAAGAGCTTCAAACTGCATCCCCTTTAGACAACTCAGAGTAAATAACGATGTTCTTAAATTTTCCTTTTTTCCTAGAACTATAGTTCTATGGAATAGTATTCCAAACTCCTGCACTAGTTTAGACGCTTTTAAGGCTAATGTTCTTTCGATTATCAAAGAAGCTTAACTCCTGTCACATGTTCAATTAATTTATTAAGTATTAATTTGTTCATCAATTTATATGCATATAATAATTTTTAGTTGTTGTTGTACCAAAAAATAGATTATCTCCCAGTATAGTCTTCACTGCTTTAGGAGTATTTGATTAAAGATTTAAAGATTGCATTTTGATTGGTTCCTATCTCTGATCTATCGAACGACAGACGTATACCGAGATAGATAACGTTACTATTGACAGTTTTTTTTTTTTTGCTCCATTATATAAAAAAAAAGTGATTCTTTGTTGCGGTTGATCTGTTCAGTAATATAACACAGAAGGCGTCAAAGTGTGGCAAGACATCAGTGGTATGACTGTGCTGCGCTTTGTGTGAGTTCTTGCCACATTTTGACATCGTTTGTGATCTATAGGTGAACAGATCCATCGTAAGATGGAATCGTTGAGTTAAATTTACTGCTGTTGAACACTTTGGTAAGCAGATCTCCAGTCTCGTGTTTAACATTTGAAAGAGAACATCGTAGAAATGCATAAATCCTACAACATTCCTCAGAAATATCTTTGGTTTTGTCGATAGCTTTTTTCAGTTTCACTTTTTGGCAGTCTGAAATCCTTTCCTTTCTCTATTATTCAGGACCAAAAGCTTCTTTAAAGGATGTCTGTCGGGTATGAAGTTATCCACCGGTGACATCAAAGTTCAGCCCAGCCCAGGATACATTTTTGGGTGTAAAGTCAAGGTGAGTTATTTCAAATCTCCCCTAGATGAAATGAATACTGTTTGAAGTGAATTACGTGATTGTCCTTCTACCATTCATTATTTGGCTTTGACATTACCAGCGATACTCAATACAATGCGTTGTGTTCTAACAACCCCACGAATTCTGTATTCAACCACAATTTTAATAGGAAAAAATTTTTTAAATTTATTTAATTCTCAACAGTTTCAATGAAGACGAACCAAACAAAAAAAACATAAATGTCCTCAATAACTTTTGAGGTATCTCTGATAGTAAAACTGTGGCAAGTTAAAGAAACATCAGTTGAAAACATTTGTTTTCTCAGTAGCGAGAACATATTCCCGATAATAAAAGCTAAAGGTATATAAACTGATTCTTTGTGATGGAAAGTTAATTTTACATTATGGGTTTGGAGACGTATTTCCCGCTGATAAAAGCTTAAGGTATATAAACAAATTATTTGTGATGGAAATTTCATTTTACATCATGGGTTTGGGTTGAGAGATAGAAGTGTTCGTAGTAGTGTTTATAGACACTTACTCCTTGGAAAAAAGGCAGGAGAGTCTCTTGAGAAACCCAATAAATCTAACCGTGTTGTATGATATTGTAGAATACTCTTATACTTTTACTGATTTTCTATCTGCAGCCAGCACATAATGTGACATTCCTTGGAGAAGGGAGCTACCTCACTATAAAACCATTCTTGGATCCGCCAAAGAGAGGTTTTAATATTGGTTTGTCCTTAACAGTTGACCCCAAAACTAGACATGGGCTTATTCTGTTGGAGACTCATTTTGGAGATGTGAGTGGTTCAGTTCAACCGTTTGATTTTGTCTTTAGTTGTAATTATCATACAAATTGTTCCATCCAATTACTTTCCTCAGAGCCAAGTTTCTACGCTTTCTCTTGCTCCTTGGTGAACATCTTGCTCAGAATTACTAGGATATTGCTTTGAAAGTTTCAGTGGTTTGGTGGAATTTTGTTGAGCTTAAAAGACAAGGCTTGCAATGTTCGTTTTGTTTGATCAAAACTAGGCATCTAAATAAATGATCAGCACTTAGCCTGTATACTATAGCTTTAGATAATAGTTTGGTCAATTGTTTTTTACTTTTTTCTTTCAAAAAGGAAGAAGTGTTTGGAAAAGTAAATTTCCAAATGTTGATTTGTTGGCAAAACGAAGCGGTCACAAAAAAAATCCTAACGCTAATACTAACGAATTTACACTCTTTTCGTTCTTCATCAATTTTTAATTGCAGAAAGATTTTATTTCCTTGGGCATTATTGACAGGAAGCTGAGATTTTCAATCAGCCCTGGAGACAGAGCTGTATTTGTAACAAGTAAAGCTAGATACAATGACGGAAAATGGCATTTCGTTTCTGCTAGTAAGGATGGTATAAGGTAAGGAAAAAAAAAGAAGAATAAGGTCAAACCTGTATTGAGCGGTCACCTACGGAGAATGGTGGCCGCTTACTTCTGGTTCGACTGTAATGAGAAATTAAACACACAAGTATTGCAGTTAAGTGGTAATAGGTGTAATAGAATATAGAGTAGGTGTAATAGAATATAGAGTAGGTGTAATAGAATATAGAGTAGGTGTAATAGAATGTAGAGTAGGTGTAATAGAATGTAGAGTAGGTGTAATAGAATGTATAGTAGGTGTAATAGAATGTCAAGTAGGTGTAATAGAATGTAGAGTAGGTGTAATAGAATGTAGAGTAGGTGTAATAGAATGTAGAGTAGGTGTAATAGAATGTAGAGTAGGTGTAATAGAATGTAGAGTAGGTGTAATAGAATGTAGAGTAGGTGTAATAGAATGTAGAGTAGGTGTAATAGAATGTAGAGTAGGTGTAATAGAATGTAGAGTAGGTGTAATAGAATGTAGAGTAGGTGTAATAGAATGTAGAGTAGGTGTAATAGAATGTAGAGTAGGTGTAATAGAATGTAGAGTAGGTGTAATAGAATGTCGAGTAGGTGTAATAGAATGTAGAGTGTGTAATAGAATATAGAGTAGGTGTAATAGAATATAGAGTAGGTGTAATAGAATATAGAGTAGGTGTAATAGAATATAGAGTAGGTGTAATAGAATATAGAGTAGGTGTAATAGAATATAGAGTAGGTGTAATAGAATATAGAGTAGGTGTAATAGAATATAGAGTAGGTGTAATAGAATATGGAGTACAGGTGTAATAGAATATAGAGTAGGTGTAATAGAATATAGAGTAGGTGTAATAGAATATAGAGTAGGTGTAATAGAATATAGAGTAGGTGTAATAGAATATAGAGTAGGTGTAATAGAATATAGAGTAGGTGTAATAGAATATAGAGTAGGTGTAATAGAATATAGAGTAGGTGTAATAGAATATAGAGTAGGTGTAATAGAATATAGAGTAGGTGTAATAGAATATGGAGTACAGGTGTAATAGAATATAGAGTAGGTGTAATAGAATATAGAGTACAGGTGTAATAGAATATAGAGGAGGTGTAATAGAATATAGAGTACAGGTGTATTAGAATATGGAGTAGGTGTAATAGAATACAGAGTAGGTGTAATAGAATATGGAGCACAGGTGTAATAGAATATGGAGTAGGTGTAATAGAATGCTCTCAACGTTTTTGAAGTTTTTCTTTTTTTCAATTTGAAGGAAATGATATCAAGTCACATATTATCCTTCTGGGCTCTTTTCGTGTTTCTAGGAAGTATGACAAAAGTGCAAAATTAAAAGAAAGCATAGTTCAATCAGAATTGGAGTCTAAAGGATAGACGGACAGTGAGGCTTTTGAGCCACTCCCATTAAATTATTAATAGTATTACTATTATCATTATAAGGTGATTTAATTATTGGTTAAATGTCAATCAGTCACTATATTCTTGAATCGTATTCCTCTTGTGGAACAGGGCACGCATAAATATGGGATACTGCAGGTTTCCTGTTTTGAACGTAAATACAACTCTTCTGTAACACTACCATCTAACATGATCTCTATATCTGTTCAATTCTATAAAATTTGGGCTACATCAGTTGCTACATGCAGTCTCAGACTGAAGTATTAAGGGTTTTTTTTTCTGTTATTATTAGGATTTATCTGCGTGTTGACGATGAGGATCCAGTCTTTGAAACATTTTTAAACCAGGGGCGGCAGTTCATCCAGACTACAAGTGATATGTACCTGGGAGGAGTCCCTGAAAACTTCATGGATAGCATGAGAAGTAGCAAGTTTGACTCTGCTATTCTGTTTTCACTAAAGGGCGGTTCCATCAGAGACTTGACCTTTGACCATGTGTGAGTTCAGGATGCACTTTATAATTTGTATTGAAATAGGTGTTTTGGTCGTAATTTGAGGTAGACTAATCTGTGCACTTCCTGGGGTTTGTTGGGGTTCATGCTCTATGCCCTTTTTTTCCAATGCTGTACCTTCTCACAGCATTTGAAGAGATCAATTTCGTCATAGCCCAGGCGTTTTTTAAACCCTCATGCAAGCAGAGGCAGTGGGAAGGTGCACGCAATATAAGCGCCTAACACACTCTCTAGGGGCCTGAATGCGTTGCCCTTGCTCCCCCCCCCCCCCAAAAAAAAATGATATAAAAAATGAAAATGACAAAAAAACGCCAGTTCCTAAATATTACAATGATAACTCACGGTAATATTTAGTTCATCCATACTTAGAACCACGTGTTGGGGTATAAACCAAGTAACCATTGCATTCTGTGAATACCACACCCCCTTAACGTCTGCCTCCCAACCCCCTTCCCACCACACCTTGTCATAGCAAATGTCGTGTGACATTGTTGTCTGACTCGTTGTCTGAAACGTATCCATTTTTGTCGACTGAGGCCCGAGTGGTACCAAATCACCCTCACTAAAATATTCTGACAATGAAATATTGTCTAAGTGAGGTTAAGGACCTCACTCGCGAAATGGTAATTTTCCCTCGCCATTGTGGTTGATATTCAATTTTATTTGTTGGTTTACAGGCTGTTTGACTTCGAAAAGTACAAGAAGAGAAGAAATGTGATATTTGATGATGATGATTACTCAGAACCGTCACCCAAGCTGGATATAATCGAGAGTAAGGGACATCCTTTGGCTCATTGTCAATATTTAAGCAACTGCGCACCTACTCCTCCCTTAAGCCAAAATTTATCCTAATTTGTGACCAGCTGACTCTTGTTGGGCTAGGGGAGGGGTACGTGCGCAGCTGGTCAGATACTGTTATGGCAGAATTTGAAAGGAGAGTAATATGTAAGAAAGAAAAAAAGCTACGTAATGATTGGTGTGATGACTAACATTGCTCTGGCAAGTTTGATTTTGAATTGTAGTTTCTACAATAAACGAATTTGGAAAATTCGTCATTATTTCGTCGTTATTTTAGAATTGCTCAATCTTCATGAGATAAGGCCATTTGATTTTACTCAATTGCAGTGTAGATATGTATGTCTTGTGGATGTCTCTTTCGGGCCTGTTGCAGGAGGTCAGTTAGTCAGGCAAAGCGCCTTACAAAACGGCGCAAGTAGCGGATGTGTAAAAAATCGAGGGAAGTTTGGGTCGCGTCTCGTAATTCTTATTAACGACTCGACCCAGACCTCTGTCGTTGTCGCTCGGCCGCTACTATTGGGCCATTTGCTATTTTGCTCCGTTCTACAAACCGAACGTCTGCAACCTTGAAAAAGCTCGCGTCCCGGACAATTTTTTTATTTTCGTACTATTGTTACACTAGTTGTGTGGTCGGTCCACTGTTCACTCTGTTTTGCGTCTCTCTCTTGCTTCTTTGTAGAACCACCCGATACTCGGAAAACGACAACGCCCAGCCCTCCCCCTACTACAACCACAGCTCCCTCAACAACAACAGCACCGCCTACCACAACGGCACCACCTACCACAACAGAACCCCCTACCACAACAGAACCCCCTACCACACCACCTCCAGTATGTTCAATGCCGGAGGAACCAGCACGGGACAGTGCAGCTGGAGTGTTAGGGTTTGGTTACGATATCAACAG